CTCATTAGGGTTAAGCGTATACATCCTAAACCCCGAAACCCTTGGGTTAATTAGGGTTAAGCCCTACAGCCTAAACCTTAAGACCCTAAGCCTCGAAACCCACAACCGAAGAGTTCAGGGTTCAGGGTCTTTGCTTGGAGCCCGGCAGGGGTCAAGCCGCCGAACTCGGGCGCTACGATCTCCACCTGAACGGCAGAAGCACGGCTGGGGTTCAGGGTTTAGGGTTCAAGGTTTAGGGTTGAGGGTTCAAGGTTTATGGTTCTGGCTCCACTGTTCCTTTTAGGTTTCGAGATTGCTGGCCCAGGTTCGCCCCGTTCGCCAGGCTCTGGTTCTCTAGTATTGCCGTCAACAGGATCTACTAGCAGGGGCTGTTTTTGAAGCCTTTCAAAAATATTAGTAGGAAAGATCCTCTTAAGCCCAATAAAAGCGATACGAAATGTCTCAAGCCCTACCTAGATCTATGGAGGTTCGTATTCTTCGAGCGACAGCACGGTCTTTCCGGGCCATGTTGCGTCCGGCGGAGGTCGCCAGTTTGGACAGCATCCGGATGCTGCCGCCGAATCCGAAATCGAAAAAAACGAGCTAAACAGTGGCACAAACACATCCAGCAAGAAAAGCCGCTACACAGGAATAGTCTGGAATATAACAACAACCCAAACACCAAACCATAGCCAACCCGCCCCACCCCGAATCACGCCCCTCACATGGCTAAAAGCGCAACAACAACACACCAACAATGTCGAGACACTGAGCTCGAAAAACCAATCAAGAACTCTGAACCCCAAACACCTAGCTCAGATAAACCACAAAGGCTCCGGCCGGAATATGGCGGCCTGAGTAATCACAAGTAGTTTCCTCAGGGTTCCTTATTGCACTTGTACTCCACTCGGATAAACCCTATTCCAGTAATGAAGGCCCCTAAACGCATCTAGCAACCCCTATATAACCCTTTAAGGAAAGCCCACCTTATGAAGGTCCCGAAATGCATCTAATAACCCTTGTAGAGCCATTTAAAGGAACCCCTACTGAAATTATGAAGGCGCCGGTATTCGTCCAAAAAACCCTGAACTCATCTTTGGGTCACTGGCCGAGAAGTGGGACTCGCCAGTCAGACCTCCAGTATCCCTTTTCCGTTTAGGGTTTAGAGGTTCAGGAGCTTAAGGATCTTTTTTCGGTTGCGGCTTGAGTCTTTCGACTCTAATTCACCACGCAATCCTAAATGGGGCTTCGGGTTTGGGGTTTACGGGTTTTGGGTCAGGGTTTTCGGGCTCAGGAGCTTAGGTCGGACTTCATTTTCGGGTGTGGAGCTTTGCATTTAAGGGAGCTACTGGATTCCGGCTTTAGCTCGGGCATTTGGGTTTAAAACTCCCAATAAGGCTTATCGAATTCGTATGGACTGCCGGGATTGACGCTCTTGGATTTGTGTGAAGGTGAACAACCCTCAGTGCCAGATCACCAGTCACGTAGACTTCGAGCACCACCACGAAGCGGGGGCCACGGAAACCCGACTCTGGCGCCGTTCACCCCAAACACGGCGCAGGTGCGCAGATCGGAAGATTTGGCCCTCACTCTACTTGAACGTTAACTGCACAATTTCAGTACCGCTTCGCATCAGCATCACACATTACTGCGTCAATGTGGCCTTCGGTTTAGGGCTTCTGGCTCTGCAACTTTGGGGCAATCCCAATTCAAGCTGCAGTTACTATGAGCCAGTGTAAGGCAGACTCAAGGGCCCCCAAATCTGCAAGCCGCAACCTTAAGCCGCAATCCTAGATCTTGTCTCAAACTCCATGATCCATGGGAACCCGAAACCCTAAACCTGCAGTCCTTATCCCTAGACTGAACCCCTTAACCTACACCCGAAATGCGAAGCCCAAAGCCAAAACCAGCAAAGCCCCTGTAGTACCAATACAGAACCCTGACAGGAAACCCCAAAACGACCTAAGACTCAACCTTTCTCTTCTCTGCTTGCAAGCCCCGGAACCCATCTCCAGCGCGCCGGCATCACCCTCGTGCGCTGCCTCTGGCCACGGCCATTCAGGGTTGCGAAGGGTTAGGATTTAGGATATGGGGGTCAGGGACTAGAGTTTTCAATCGGGCCGAGACAGGGGATGTGAAGCGTGGAGTGGCCTTGTGCGGGACGTTGCGGAATTTTCGGAACAGGGATCTTGAAAGCTCTTCGAGCTTGTGTAGACCATGGTAAGCGACACGGGCTCTACATGGCTGCTTGTGGCCTATATAATGCTTCAATGCCAACCTCAAATGACAACCACAACTTCCCAGTTTTCGAGACAGACCTCCGTGAACATGACAACCTCGCCGGCTCCTCCACTGACGGCTCTTCTAGGCTCAGGGGTAGGGCTTTTGGGTTTGCGGTTCAGGTCTAGGGGACCTTAATGATTAGAGTAGGGTTTTGGGCCCCACTCTACTAGTATATTCCTAATGAGGAACCCCAAATAGTACTGGTCATTATTGAGGCCCCTCATATTAACAGCTTCGGGGGCGTCGGCTGTCCGGTCTTGTTGTATGCCGGCTCAAGATCTATAGTAGACCTGTGAGCAATGCAATAATCACTTAGCAATCTAGAACACCCCATACCACACAACTTGGGATTGATAATTCGGCTTCCCGAAAAAACCTTAAACCAATCTTGGACCCCAAGAAAAACTCTTGCAAGCCCGGATCCCTAAACCCTAAACCCCTAACCCCCGAACCTTAAAACCCTATAAACCCTGAGCCCCTAAACCCTAAACCCCTAACCCCCGAACCTTAAAACCCTATAAACCCTGAGCCCCTAAACCCTAAACCCCTAACCCCCGAACCTTAAAACCCTATAAACCCTGAGCCCCTAAACCCTAAACCCCTAACCCCCGAACCTTAAAACCCTATAAACCCTGAACCCCTAAACCCTAGACCCCTAAATCCTAAACCCTAAACCCTGTAGGTGGCCGGACGGACTCGTCCACGACTTTCAGTCCAACCAGGGTGAAGCTGGTGTCCTCGGATCAGGGTCGGGGCTCTGGAAGTTTAGGCTTTAGGACCTTAGGATGCCTAGGGCCTAAAAGACTTCTACAGCTTGGGGAATTTATCGCGGTTTTGGGTTTAGGGAGATGTTTCAGTTCGGGAGACTTAAGTTCAAAGTTTGAGGTCTGCGATCCTCGGACGCAAGGTCCAAAAAATGTCAAACTGGAATTGGCACTCGAAGGACCCGACAGATCGTAGGGATGGGTTCTAAACTCCAAAATCCCTAGTCGTGCGAGTTCGGATGCTGCTTGGCTTGGGATTCAGGCGAAGAATCTCGATAGGGTAGCTGGTTCAGGATTTAGAGTCTAGATTCAGGATGCAAGGTTCAGGACCGGTGTGTAACGCATGCTGAAAAGCCGCCCTGCAACGGCAAAAAACGCATGAAGCCAAGTCTCCAAAGCTTTGCAAAGCGCCGTGGCTGTAGGCCTGCATTGGCGTCTGCATCTTGTACCATCGATGGTGGGTTTTCTGATGATGATGCTGGTGGTTCCGGTGGTGGTGATGATGGTGAGATGACGATGATGATGATGATGCTGGTGAGAGCAATGAAACCACCTGACTCTGTGCTTCAGCCGGCCACACCGAAGAAAGGATATTTGGGGGCCTGTCTGGTTGGAAGCGTTCTGGGGTTTACTGCAGTATGCTTGTATGGAGCCTATAAGATGGTTTCAATGCTACGAGAAAGTAGTTACTCCGACCCCTATGTTAGCCCCCTCGAGGCTTCCATGTCACCACGAACCAAAGTCCTGCATACCACTCCAGGTTCCGGCGTTTCCTAGGATTTCAAGTCTAGGCTTAAGCCTAAGCTGTATCCCCACACTCGCCGCAAGTCACACGACTTGACGCCTCAACCCCTTAGCGAAACCCTTAACCGTTCCCATTGGGCGGGGACTGCAGCTCAAGTGTGGGACACGGCCTGTCCACATGTGTCATCAATCCCTGTTCTTGCACAAGCTTGCAGGCAGCAATAGTCGACGCATGAGGAGAAGAATGATTAGTAGCCATCTCCATGCATGGTCCCCGTACAACCATCCTGAAATATACACTCAAACTCTAGTCTTACCAATAAGGCCCCTATAGCATTCACGACAAGCTTCGAGCTTCATTCACAACAAGCCGTCGAAAGCCCCAGCGCGAATCTTGCCGTCTCCTACTTGAAGACTCCATCATGTCAATAGCATTTACCTTAACCTACCAAAACCTCTTTTCTTTGTGGGCTCTTGTTATAAGCCCCTAATTTGTAGGGAACCTAAAAAACATAGGTTCTTGTAGGTTAAGGTAGGGCATATGATAGGGCAAAGAGGTGACAAAAAGGGCGGGGTGTTCCTCTCCTGAACCCGAAGATCCCCGCGGCTTTTCCAGCGCTTCGAGTCCAGCTCATGGCTCTTTAGGGTTTAGGGCTTGGGGTTTAGGATTTAGGAAACAATGCGAGCCACTGCATTTCTCAGTGGCCTTAAAAGCGTCGATCTACTTCGCTGGCGTCCATCAAAACGGTCCCTATTATGCCATGAGAGTTAGGATTGCTTAGTGGGCTGAAGGGACTGATGCAGAATCAGAAAGTTGGGGACCCAGGACGCCGTCTGGAAACGGGCATAATCAGATCGACATTATAACAGAGTCGCTGCAATGTGGCTCACTTCCTCACCATGGTACAACAGTTTCAGAAATTGAGGCACCCATATATAAGACTTTAAAACTGGGAGTTCTTAGTGTACTATAAGGCCTTCATAATTAACATAGGGTTGGGGGGGGGCCCATTATATTATAATTATAATCAGGAACGCCCAAAATAGTAGAGGAAAATATTTAGGCTTCTATATAGTAAGGACCATACAGCCTGCCTCTTATATAGCAAACCCTGGGAAGGACTCGCTCTGGGATCCGATTGCCCAACATGCGGAAACGAAGACCTTGCCCCAGCTAAGTCTGGCTTCATGTATGACAGGAGCCACGGTGCAAGACGATGCGTATTAAAACTAGGGCGGCGGAAGACAATAGCAAAGGGACCTAGTCTGCCCATACCCCGTTGGGGTGGTTGTGCAGTCGACAGCCTCACCCTCCAGGAATCTGCACGTGTTGTCCCCGATCCTGGGAACACACGAAGGAGCCAGTGCTTCTATTCCACCGACATCCAAGCTGTGGAACCGGAAAGCTCAACACCCTGGGAACCTGAACCCTCTGCCCTGAACTGGAAACTCCAGATAAGATAAACTTGGTTTCAGCATTGGCTGCCGATATGCAGATTGCCCAATGCCATAAGAATCGTCTTGTTCACGAAACCTGATTTCTGGGTTCCGCAGTGTAACATTTCTGGTTATCGTGCGAATTGATTTCGTGCTTGTCAGTTTCCCGTGTACCAGTATTGGTGTATTTCAAAACAGTAGTAATGCAATCAGCGAAGATCCAACAAAGGACCAAAGTGATCTACCCCCTTCGGTCTCTGAAAGGCAGACAGAAAAACCCACCCGGCCTGTAGAACGGAGTGTTGGCGTTGTTTATGGGGGGCTGAACTGCTGAGGGCTGCCGGTTTGGTGCACGACAGCTGCGATGGAGCTCTCTCTCCATGACCTGCAGGACCCTAACCCCAAAGCTCCGCACGGCTTAGCCCTAAAATTCCTAAATAAGCGTGAGCTTCTGTCCGATCCTTCTGGGCAGTTCCGGGTTGGTGCGGAGTTGTGGTGATATCAAGACTCCTGCTGAATTCCATGAGAACACTTCAAGCAGCCATAGCAGTGAAACCGACGACATAGCTTTACAGAAGAGGACGCTGTCCCGAACGTTAAGCAGCACGAGCAACAAGTGTAACTGCTCATACAACCATGTTCCAGTGAGGAGGACTTCTGTAGAGATGGTGACAGAAACGTATCATCAAAATAATCCACGTAAGATCATAACCACCGACCCAGAATAAAAACATCTTCACATTCTATCGATTCCAGTGAACCAAGCCGCGGATGTAGGTGCACATCACTGCGTATCCACCCACATACCCGGTAAGCAGACTCTCATGCAATCAACGCTGAACCACGGTTCTTAACATTTGTACCTAGAGACAGTTCTGATTCTGATCATAATTAGTCTTCTGTCTATGTGAACTGACGTGTTGGGCTCAATCATGCAGTTGTCTCTGACGCCGGGCTTCACTGGTATGCCCAAGCTGGGCCGGGATACGACTCGCTGTACGTCGGGGTCAGGTTCTGACGGTAGACAATGAAGAGCTGAAGATCAGAAAGCCGTGACTGAATATGTTGGGCAGAATAGAACAAGCCCCCCCACCCTAAGCCCTAAATCTGTCACCCCTATCTGGAGCCCCAAAAAACCTACAACGAAGCAAGTAGGCTTGACCCCGTCATTATCTGCTAGATACAACGCCTAGCACCGTAGGCTTGTGATCCGAGAGAATTCCCCAAAGCCTTACACCGTACCCAAGAGTATTCGGAGACTGAGCAAGCTTGTAAGTGCAACATGAGACAGCTATAGTTACCTCGTTCACAACCCTTTACTGAGTCCCAGCATACTCTTAGCCGAGTGTAGCTGGATCTGCCGGTCAGTGCAGCTCTTTAAGAATTGATCTGAGCACATGCCAGCCGCAGCCTCTGCTTGTTGGCTGAGGTTTGTTTGCATATAAATTTTCTGCGGTTTGTAGCTCCCATGGTCTATGCATTCGTAAACGGTGACGGCCAGTGCTGAGACAATGGGTACACATGCGCATGCACGCAAGACGGTCTGAAGCCTCCACGTGCGAAACAGCTCACAGCCTTAACAAGACCCAACAGCCCTGAACAACCCCTCAAACCGGCCTCGGAAAATCTGCAGTAGTTGGTGATGTAAGCCATCTGGTCCTTTCCACTAAAATAGTATAATGTAATACAACATAATATAATATATTATAGCATGAAATAATGTAGTACAATATCACGATCCAGATTCCGCTCGTTTCGACACACCTACCGGCCAGGGGCTTCGCTGGGAAGGTTCGTGCGACAACTTGTTTAAGGCCCTACGATGCTATACAGCGAAGCCCAGAAAGTTGGAAGGTTGGTTTAGGATGATGAGTACTGGGATCCCTTATACTTTGCCTTAAGGGCATGAGGATTAGAATGTTCCAGCTTCATGGCTTCTACCATAGTCTCATGCTACAAAGCGCCTGCCCGACGACGAAGGGACTGCCCAGTCAGGTTTAGGGTTCAGGAATGGGTTCCGGGCATCGTTCCACAGGATATGGCCAGACCCCCCGGCAGGGACGTCCCAGGGCACTCTAAAGTCTTGTCGATGCCAAGAACACTTCGACAAAACCTTGCAAACCCTGCATGCTGCAGTCGCACCGGAAAACGGCGCAATTAAGCAACAAGGACTGCCGAAGTGCTAAAGCCGAAACTTCAACACCGTCAGCACTGATCACGTTTCCAATAGAGGCTAATCACTGTGTGAATCTGCGCCTCACCGCATAGACCATAGCCACGATCCGCACAAGCATCATTGCCTCTGCCGCATGGGTGTGAAACCCAATGGACCAAACTATATCTAATGTTTGGAATAGGGCTTTGGAAGTATACTGTAGCTTATATTTCAAGAAAGGAGTCCACAAGAATAGTATGTGTACTTGTCCAAGTCCCTACATTATCTGGCGTGGGGGAAGCCCACACAGCTCTCCATCAAGCACATGCCGAAGTAGCCCGGTGACCCAATCGCGCGGCACTCTAGGTTTTGTTTGTGATTAACGGTGTCTATACGTTTAGTGTTGAGGGTTTCGGATAAAGAGGGTGGAGGGTTGTGAGAGCCGTCTTGGGTTTGAGGGTTGAGGGTATAGCGTTCCAGGCGGTCGACTGTGTTGCCAAGATGCAGGTTTCACCGACCCCACCCAGGATCCACGCGCCACCAGCCTGTGCAGCAATGAACGAGCTACAGATCTGTAATCTTGCATCCCGTGATCAAATTGCAGTTGATTAGCGCTCTCGCTTTCATGAGAAGCTTTGTTTCTTATCATGTGTCACAAGCTTTGCACGTACAAGCGGTTGATCAAATCAGACTCTGGACAGTTCCACTGCCTGCGTTGGAAAATGATTCAGCAGGTCCTTTCCCAATGTAAGAAAGCCCTGAACCCCAAACCCCTTACTAAACAGCATAGAACCAGGGAACCAGGCTTTACACACACGCTCACACGCAGAGAGCGACAGGGAGCCAGACAGATCCCTACCCCCACCTTAAAATTGAACTCTAGACCATGTGGTTCAGTGCTTCAGACACACTTTGAAGTTCATGGCTACCTATAAGTGGGGTTGTAAGCCCCCCCCTAACATGGGTTAGAGTTATAGTTACCGTACTGAAACTCCGCTTAATAACTACCTGTGAACCTCCAAGCAAGGAAGAAGACACCTCTGACTGCTCTAGACATTCTCAGCCAGAAGCAAGTGGCAGAACTGCAAGCAGAAGCTTCCTCCAAAATCGTTAAGGTAGACATACATGTAATGTCAAAAACAAATAAAACAAATAGTCTATAATGTAACAGAATGGTACGTGATATCATACGGTGTAAGATAGTACTGCATAATAATTGTAATGCCAACAGTTTAAGGCAGGTAGCGACAGAGGTCGTTGTCGTCGTTGTGCCCGTGCAAGCGCAGAATGGAAGGAAATCGCCATATGCAGGTGGGAGCGAGCAGTCCATCGTGCCAGCGCCGCCGTTCCAGAAATAGCAGCTTTCGGTGGGAGTTTTCGGCTTGTAGAACGGTGCTCCACCATAGCCTCTGGCCCCGCCCTGATTCCCTAGAGTGCAACTGATGCTCGGATCATATTCCGCCACGGCTGCAAAAAACGCTGCCGAGGTGTTCAGCGATTCAAGCAGCGGTGCATCACACCCACCATAGCCGGCACACTCGCAGGCGGTGTCACAATTCTCGCCATACTGTGCCAAAAGGAAGACGCTTGCCTTGCGTGCTGGGCTTGGTGGTGTTGCTTCCGGAGATCCACAATAAGAAAATTATTCTTAATATTCTCTTGGGTTTTATATGAACAAAAATTAAAAATCCTAAGGAGGCCGTAGAATCAGTCCAGGGGGCTCTAAACCCTATTCGCGTTCAGGAGGGTTTAGGCCCTTGAGGCTCGGCGTAAACGAGGCAAGAGGCCATCGTAGTCGTCACCGTCGTGCCCTGATGTCGAGAGTTGTCAGGGCTTATAAAGTCTATCGGGGTTTTAGGCTTTGTGCTTATCGGGCCCATAGGGTTGAGAGTTGAGTTCAGGCTGCAGTCGACCTTAGGAGTATTAGATGTTGATTCGAGGTTCCGGTCGGCATCCTCCAGTTAGCAGGTTGCGCGCAGAAAAACATGACCCAACACACTCCTACGAAAAAGGCCGGGGTGGGAGAAGGGAGGCAGGCAACAGTGAAGAAAGTGCGTCATAATGAGCATGGTGACATACTCAAACATACAAAAGAAGCACCCTAAACGCATTGGCTCTCTTCCTTGTGGAAAAGCATCAATACCAATAGCATGAACCACATGAGCCCCCAAAGCAAATGCCTACATGGCCTCATTTGGCAAGTGTTGAAAATTTACTGATTACCTCATCCGGCTGCATGCTCGGCTCACTGTGCTCTGCAGCAGAAGTCTAAGCATGTTTGAAAGAATTGCAGATTCAATCATCGCGAGGGTACGTATACCTTTGGACATGCAGCTGTGAAGCCTATCCACTCAACTGCTACAGGGCCTGCTACTACTACATGCATGAGCAATGACAGCTTGTGTCATGATGAATGCCTGTGTTCGCATGTTGCATAGTGGGCTCTCAAATAGTGCAACTAACCCCACGTAATTGGATTTGGGCCACGAGTATTCAATATGAGGGGTATTTGGGTCGGCCCGTCATTTCGAAGTCCACAGACCCGACAGCCCCGTTCCTCCGGCTACTGGTACTGCCGTTCCTGCAGTCTTACATCCGGTGTGCCTCATGCAGCCTGCAATCGCAGTCAGTGCAATCCTTCATGGGAGCCAATTACTCCGGACAGCCCGTCATCCGCCGCAGACCCACGCCCCTCTTTGCCAAGCCTCCTTGTAGTACCATCCTCGGCGAAACTTGCGAACTTGCCTGACAGCGAAGCTTTCGTCTGACAATTCGTTGAAAGCCTTCAACGGTAACCCTAACTCCCAAACCGGAGCACCCAAAAAAGCCGCAAAACCTGAAACTCCAAGCTTTGGCGGGCATAGCCTGGCTTTCGTTTGGGTCTTGGTGCTTGGGCTCTGTGTCTTTTGCCGGCCCCGTGAGATTCCCCGGCTCACCCGCATAATGTAGAAGTCTAAATATTTTCCAACATTACTCCTTAGGGTTCCGTATTATAACTGTAAATTGAAGGAGCCACAAAGGGTCCCTACATTCACAATTTGTGCGTTTCGTGCAGTCACACACCCGCTCGTGGAGATCCACATGTCGAGAAGGTCTGAGGCATCTTCTCGGGAACACTCTCATCATTACCCCCAAACCCTAAAGCCCTAAACCGAGGTTCCAAGGTTTGACCAACAACCGAGCAGCAAATCTCTAGATCGGCCAGCTCTGATTTTCGACCGTTGAGAAATCATGAAAGCTTTGCGCCGAACTCAGCTTCTCTCACAGAGCTGCACATAGGTGATGCGCAGCACTTGTAAATTGAGAAGGTGGCTTTAGGGTAGATGCTGCCGAGTGATCTACGTGCCCCAAACCTTTCTAGCTAAGGTCTTGTGTGAGAGGCGTTGTCGAGATGCCGGTGCAGCTTGCCAGACAAAAACGCATGCACAAATCCTGGGATTCAGAAGACGTGCTTCTGAGGTACCAGCGACGCCGCTTGCGTTCCGGGGGCCCGGCCGCATCCTGCAGCAACTCAGTGTTTCACTTTCTCTCTGCGGAACAAACTGTCGTTGGCTGCCGGTTGTTCCCTAAACCCCACGGCCCTGAAGCATGGCTGAGGCACAAACATTTTGAGTCACAGAACAGTCATGCCGTTTTTGGGACCTACTCATTATAGGTATCTTCGATGCCGACACCTGGCAAACCCTTACCCTAAACGCTTTCCGGCCTCTTCAGCCGTGGCGCCGATTGGAGTGTGCTGCAGCAGGACGCTTTCGTCCACCGTGCGGCAATTCAAACTGCCAGAGAATGGCGAGGGCTTAGGGCTTACTTGTTAATGCAGATGACTTAGACTTTTGGATTGTCGCTGAGGAAGTACGTGGATAGGCTTCGGGGTTGAACCCCCCCGACTCGAGTTTTCCGTCAATCACGTTTTCAAAGTTTCGAACGCTGCAGCTTTTCAGCTATGTGAATGCTGCAGCCTGGAGAATCCTCGCCAAACGCAGGCCGCAGGGGGTGCTACAGATATTGTAATATATTCGGTTAGATTCGATGAAACTAGATCACGTCATGTTGCATAGTATTATGTTATAGAATAACATATTGAGTCATATGATGCAATGTACTAGGTACTGTATATCCGTAATAAGAATACCATATAATGTATGTAAAGGAAATTCGAAAGTCTACCACGTAATATTCATATATACATATGTGACGAGTTGCATACGTTGATCATGTATTGAACATCTTGTGCAATATGACGTGAAATACTTCGATTACCAGTACACATATGTATATAGATATATAAATGCACATATATTGACATATATATATAGACATACAATACTGTATGAATTATCATGCACGATGTACGGTATATACACTTATATGTATATATGTATACATGCATATATGTATATATACACACACATACTGCATATTACATATTACATACCATATGTTACATATTGTATACGTGAAAGTATATAAGACTAACTGCAGGTTAAATAGAAAAACTGGAACAGTAGATGCTAATGCATGGTGTATACAACCTCCTATATTATAGTATATCATCTATATGACGATCTTCAAGATATCAGTAACTATGAAACATGGTGTGAACACACACATATGTGTGTATATATATATATATATATTTATATTTATACATTAAGTATATATTATGTATATGTGTGTATGTGTGTGCATGTATCAGACAGTAAGTCTTACCTGTTATAAGGCGGTATGTATGGTATTTTCACACACACATATATATATATATATATATATTTGTGTACATACCTCATATGGAAAATACGTACAAATAATGTGTGCACATATACTATAAGACATCATCTGATCTGTATGTACATGTATAGACATGATCTGATATGGTGCTGCTTTATAGTATGCTTGTAACATTGCATATCATGCTGTATTGTGTTAGGCTCTGCCATATTGAGTTAAAGTATATCATATTCTACTATCTTGCCTTAAACTCTTGTTGTCTCTTAGACTGTCTAATGTCGAGCAACCCCTTATCTTATCTGACATTACCTTATGTCTTCCTATCATATATCATACAATGCTATTGTACTGTATTGTATGATCATGTAGGATACTATATAAATCTATATAATATAGCGTAATGTAGTACAGCACTGTACTGCATTGCCTACTGTCTTTATATATTGCCTTCTACTCCACCGTAAAATAGTATAGGAAATTGGATTAAGACATAAGTTCAAATAAAAAGATATGTTGTGTCGCTGTATATTCGGTTATTAAGTATATATGTATAAACTATTTACATGTACATCTATGTACAAATAAATGAACCAACAAATGATTATACATATATATATATATATATACATGTATATATGTATATATGTATATATATATATATATATATATATATATATATGTATGTATGTATGTATATATATATATATATGTATGTATGTATGTATGTATGTATGTATGTGTGTGTGTGTCACACCGTATATGTTACTGTTAGTACAACCAATACATATGTATATATATATATATACAGGTAGTCAGTTTGATGTCACGAATCAGAATCTTCTGGCCAGCCTGGCACCGTTTGCATGAGATTCCTCCTCGGCAGTGCCCTGCCCTGCCACCTGCCGGACCGCCTTAAGGCTCAAGCGAAATCTCAGTGTCATAGGTTTCGGCTTTAGGGTTTGTTGATGGCAGAGGTGGAGACTGTGCGCTTCCGCTTTGGGGTGCCAGGCAGTAACAACTGGAAAGTGCCAAATGATGTGCCGGTCTGCGATGAAGCGTCAGTCCTTAATCTTGTAAATACTAGACTGACATCCTTGTGGAATTTGGGGTGGTTGGTATGAACCGGGCTCAGGACAAGGCTCCATACGTCTAGGGAGCCATAGGCCAACGGGCCACCCCGCTGCTGTTGGTGCTCTTGTTGGCAGTTGTAGAGAGCAACTTCTTGAAAGACCGATTCGAAAGACTTCCAGCCCAGAGATTTGGATTGTTTAGCTGCTCCTCGTCTCACTTCCTCGATATTGTTCATCTTGTAGGTATAGCTACAAGTTTGCAAATTTTGAGAGCAATCTGAAGCAGCTAGCAACAAGCTCCTCCATCACCAGCAAGAAATCTCAAACCCGAGCTCTGAGCTGCAATCGTTTCGTGGATTGCAGCAGTGGTGAGCAGCAAGCGGTCGCATGGACTTGACGGCTTCGGTTTGCAAAGATGCAGTTGAAGTATTGTCTCTTCAGGGGCTGTTGCAGACCCGATTGCGGACTCAGAAAAATTTGGCGCTGTACACAAACATGATTCGAACCAAGTTCCATTGTGTGAAGCTGTGCTACAATTTGCTGGTGTGGATTTTCGGTTTGAGGACATAGGCTTTCTGGGGTTTGAGGTTGAAAGTTGAAAGAGCTTCCTTCGGATTTGGTGTAGTGATGGGAGGCCAAAAGGGGGTTTAAGTTTCTTGGGGTAGGGATTCCTTAAAATGACACCCCATCATGGGAACCCTAATCCCTACTAAACCCCATAGACTAAAACCCCTTTTGGCCTGCTATGATGTATTGCTGCTGCGATACGGCTGGTATCAGAAAGAAGACGACGATCTTCGATAGCCAGGCCGTGATGCACTGCGAGGGCTACACTGGCTACAGGCTCCAGATTCCTTGCTTGTGCTTCTTTCAGCACCCTGGGCCAACGCCTCTCCGACCGGACGTGTGCTTCAGACGAAGAGAGTCACTGCAAGCGTCTTACGAGTATTTGCGTAGGGCTTTGGGGTAGGTTGGACCATACTAGCTGTTTGAGGGCTACCCGTTTACAAGGGGAGATTCCTGCTAGTGCTCGTGAACCTACCATGAAACCGAATTCCCGCCTCAACCCTAAACCCCGAACCCAAAACCGCAGTGGAGCTGCGCTGCTGGATTTCAACCAGCGGACATGGCATGAACGGCGAAAACTGAGCTTGAATACCCTGGTGGGTCAAAAGGCTTGAGCTTAAGGTTCCCAGTGTTTTTTGACAATGAGGGCTTGATAGGGCCCCAGAAAAGCACATAAGCAAAAATAAGGATGGTGGGGATATCCCCAGAAAAAGCTTATGCTTATATTTTTTTTGGGTCCCTAAGTTGGGGGTTGGGTGCACAGGGTTGCAGCTCTCCGCCTGTTTGTGTCGTCAATGAGCTTGATGTCACCTGGCCGCTACGGGCACAGCAACAACGCAAAGTACAGGTGAAAGTTCAACGAAGACAAGCCGAAACTCTACGCAAAACTTTAACGTTCTAAACCCCCAAGCTCCAAAGCCAAACAACTACAGCGCACGCTAGACGCGACGGTTCGATTCGGAACCATGCTTGTGGAGCCTGCTCGTGTGTTCAAATTCCAAAGAAGGGTTGGCTGATCTTATTAGTGCCACAGCCGTCCTTGCTTGTTCCCAGAAGCGGTGATATCAATACCTGCTAGTCTGCCAGTGATTTCATCTCTGCACTTGACAACAGTAGAGTTCATCCACAACTTGACTTTCCGACTCTACGATCTAAAGCTACGTAACCCGCGAATTTAAGTCAGAATAGTTTGTTACGATCTTCTAGCCACTTTGCCACAGAGCGAAACCCATCAATCCACCTGAAGGATCATGGGCCTTAGAAGCAACAAAAGTGGGAGGAGAAGTCATCATCGCTATACGTACATATACAATTACTTTACTGATAACCGTGGTTACGAAGTCCAATGCTCCCTTGAGAGCATGCGTCGCTGTACTTTTGGAGTTCTTTGACTTGGAAGGGATCAAGAAGTTTGTTGTCTTGGGTGCAAGAAGATCGACAGCTGTTTTAGGTTCACGGCTTCATTTTCTCCCAGATAGTCAGGACAAGTGTGCCGAATTCTCAGATCTATCCACACTTCCCTTCATTCACAAAGCCTTATAAACCCTAAGCCCTACATTACCCAACTGCCCTTCAATGAACTCCTTCTCCGAGCCCAAATTCCATGTTTTTCAGCGCTGATCGTCACCGAATCTTCTGGCGCTGTATATGTCTACGTGCTACAAGCTTATGGAAAGTTGCTCTCCTTGCAAGAATTTGGGGCTGAGGTTTAGAAGCCTTCCCAACATACTGTGACCAAAAGCTTCTCTTTGCTAGCTCTTAGCATGCACGAATCACTAGCAAATTTGGTGCAGTCGGTGGCTCGCAAACCCAATGCATATACAAACTAACCACCAGCCAGCACTACCCCTCCCCTAGCCCCCAAAACAGAAACGCACGTCGGCAACGGAACAAATCCACGAGCCACACCAAACCCCGAACTCACAGCCGCTGACCTACTGACCCTAAACCCCTAGAAGCCACACTCCTCAGCCCGAAACCACCAAAAAACACCTCTCCCTCAACCCCTACCCCTGAACCCTAAACCTCTAGGAACGGGTCTTCAAGGAACCCTTTTTGGGGCCCCTAAACCCTAAACCCTAAACCCCAAAACCCGAAACCCTAAACCCTAAATCCTGTGCCTCTGGTGTACTGCGTGGCATCAGCACCGGACTCGCTGGACCCGCCACCTCAGGAACCCACCAAAAGTGGCAGCATTTGGGAGTTTCCGAAGATTAGGGGTACCTTAAATTTCCTTTCAAGGGTTCCTTAAAGGGATCTATAAGGGTTCTATAAAGGGTTTAGGGTTTAGAGTTTCCGAAAACTAGGGGTCATTTTGGGGTCCTTATTATGAGGATCGTACTATTTAGGGTGCTATATTTAGGGTCCCCCTATTTTCAGAAGCTTCCATTTATAGCGCAAGGGAGTACCTACTTAAAGGATTTATACGGCACAGGGTTGAGGGGCGTACCTACTTAATGGGTCTAGGGTTTTATAGGGCATACATATAGGGTTTAGGGGAGTACCTACTTAATGGGTTTAGGGTTTAGGATCATGGGAATAGTATTGCTTCCGTAGTTCTTCAGGCTTCCGTATTCAATGCTGAAAGGCTCATCAGGGAGCCTTGTGGTTCAGGGTTTTGGGGTTTAGTAGCGAGGGTTACGAATACGGTGGGGTCCTAGGGCTTAGGGGTTCCATAACATGCTCGCAAGGTGATGGTAATAGTGCATAGAGTCCTGCACTAACATGATAGCAGAACTGTAGTAGCATTGCTGTAATATTCGGTCCTAGTAGGTAAGATTCTGGTACTACTGTTGTAAGCTTCAAAAGCAGGATCGCGGACTGCGAGGATTTGGACTTCAACACGCTTTTGAAACTAGGGTTTAGGGGTTTCGGTGTTTGGGGCTTAAGGGTTTAAGGGCTCAGGGGCTTAGGTGTTTCGGGCTTAGGGGTTTAGGGCTTTGAGAGGGGTTTCGGTGTTTTGCGAGCACCCTTCTCCAACTGCAGACTCTCACGCCCACCGACAGAAGACCGGAACGATGTTCAGGGTTTTAGGGCAGGGTTAGGATTTAGGGCTTCGTGTCTGAAGATCAGCGTTAGATAAGGCGTGCACATGAATGACGCGACTAACTATAGCGAGCTCCTCGATATCAGTAAATCCCGACATCACCGGTTCCGATCCGTGTGATTGCTACTTCCTCGGCGGTCCTCCGAAAAGTAGTGCAGACCCTGGCACAATGGAAAAGGCCCCGCTTGAGCCCTGCACTATCGCCAGCTCCCTCGTTGGCCATGACCAGCATCTGCGACCGGACAGCACGCTTGCAGAGCACTTAAATTAAAGTGCAACTGCCGTTGTCGAATTCTGCGTTGAACTTGAGCCTTCACGCCCTAGATCCCACACTCTCTGGGGCTATGGCCTCTGACAGACTCAGTACATAACACAGCCATAGCAAGTTCGAAATCCGGATGCAAGCCTTCAAAGACGAATCATCTCAGTCTCGAAACCTGACGAGCCCATTATCGACTCCCCGGTCCACGAAGCTTCGGATTTTGCAGAATACTCAGGGCTTGATTGGAGCTTCGTGGATAGTTCTAAGTGGAGTAAGAAGTAGGGTACCCACTTTAGGCGACTTATAACCCCACTTGTAACTACCCATGAAACTACAAGAATACCACCATAACTAAAGGATACTTGCTCCACTACTGACTACTGGCTCTTGCTCCGTGGCTGAGGTCCGGACGTGCAGTTATGGGTCGATGTGCTCAATTTATCAAGGCTTTGGGCTCAAGGTTCAGCGTTGACTGTTCGGTATTCAGGGTTTCGGGCTGGATAGCTCAGTTGCCCAATCTGGGAAGAGGGGTGAGTGGGGAAAGGAGAAAAACTTGACCAGCAAACCAGCTATACCATGGCCTGCTCGAGTTCGCCCTTCTGGTACATCTCCATGACGATGTCTGCTCCTGAAAGAAAACAAGGGGAAGGAGAGCCACTTTGGATTTGATGCTAGCTTGCAGTTTGTGGTGGTGAGACGTCTACTTTTGTACTGCATCATCAGGCCCTTCTTTGGAGCATCTCATGCATGGGACTCTGCCAACAGCTTCAGGGTGCTGCTCAAAGAGAGTGTCCGACAGAAGGTCTCAGCCACACCTGCCTGAGCCTCACATGCTTCCGCAGCTGCGCCTGCGGACTTTGGAAGCAAACACCGTGCTGGGTCGCCATGTTTGCCAAGATGGCCAGCTCCGGCCAGGGACTCTGCTCCAGATATCTTTCGTCATGGAAGACAACCAGCTTCTTGAGAGATGGGCAGAATGAGATCAAGTGGCCCAGACCCTCACTCACGGCGATGCGGGACTCACTTTGGAGGCCCGAGATATAAAGACCACAGAAACTCCATGTGAAGGACTGCAAGGTTGAAGTTGCGAGGATTGTAAGGAACTCTCGAAGCTCAGGGGCCTCGAGACCTTCAGCTGGAGACAGAAGAGTCAGGCCTTCGACCTGGCTTGCTCTTGAGGATCCCAGGAAAGCTACAGTTCAGGGTTTAGGAATGATTAATGCTTTACTTCTGAACCTCTACTTCCACAGGAGAGTTGTGAAGCGAACCTGGTTCTGGCAGACGGATGTCGCTAGCATCGACAAGCTTCGCCCATCCAGCGGAACTGCCAGTGAGAGCAGGCGGCACTTGAAGGGCCATGTCACTGCTGAAAGCCTCTCGGATAAGTACCTCAGCCCAAGGATTCTTTGGGGATTCGGGCGGTCTATAGGGCGTGGGAAGCGCAGCTTCGGGAAGATCGAAACCCTATGACAACCTCGAGCTGCGAGCACACCTAGGCGCCTGTCGCCGGCTAAGCTGAGCTGGCGCAGATGGAAGACATCGATACATCTCTGCAACGCAGCTACAAAGCCTGGGCGCGCAGCTTCCCGGGAGCTCAAGCATAAGCCTCGGTCCAGAGTGACACTAGTCAAACGGGTTTGCAAAGTGTTCCTTCAAAGCGTTACTATAAGGAGCTCCTTCAAAGGATTGCAAAAAGGGTTCCTTCAAAGGGTTACGACAAAGGCTTGGCGTGCGTGTGAGGCTGCCAGAACCCTTCAAAGCAACCGACGCAGTAATGTAGGTACCTGATTAAGAAACACCTGTTGAATAACCCAAGATCGCAAGTAGGAGGCATATTCAGGATCCTGATAAAAGCCCGCAGGCTTCACATTTTTCTGAGTCAGGTTCGCATGTTACTGCAAAGCAATTATTCAGCGCCCAGAAGCAAAGCGTGTGCAGTGATGGGAGGGACACGGAGCATGCAGCCAGGGCTGTCAGCGTCTGAGACTCCGGATCAATATCGCTACCATCAAAAGCCGGCCTCAGACAAGCGGGTTTGCCTTGCTTGATTCGGGCAAGGGCCCAGGCCAGCTAGACTCTGGGATAATTGAAATTGCTCACGACGAGGTGGTAGTCTTAATCACCCTAAGGTCCTAGCAATCAAAGCAGTAAGAAGAAGCACGAAACTAAGAAGAACCACACTAAAATCATTTTCGAAAAAGAAGACTACTTTTGCTAATTTTAAGCAGCTGCCTGACTGCAAGATGGAGGATGCAGAGACCTCGGAAGGCAGGCAGAGCCTGCACCACCTCGAAGGCTGCGCACATTGCCTGAGCAGCTCGTGGAGAGTGCTTCAGACGTTGAAATGCTTGCTCCTTCTGAGGGTTTAGGGTTTGGAGGCTTATATAGTTTGGGGTTTAGGGTCGAGGTCGAGACAGTTTGAGGAATCTATGCTGAAATTCAACCTTATTTACAAGAACAGCATAGTTGCCACGTCTTCGAAGTCCGCATCCTGTAGGGAAAGCTCCTCCAGGGCGGGGCAGCGACGTAAGCTTCTCAACAAAGGTACCAGCTGGAGTCTGTTTCGCAATCCGATGATGGCCACTCGTCGGAGCTTCGGAAAGGCACCAAAGAGCCAGCCCAAACACACGCTGAAATGCTCATGGCTTGTAGGTTCATCCGTTTCCCGCAGATGGATTTCCTCGTTGCCCCAGACGTTGTCACATCCGTTATTCCAAAGCTCAAACTCAACCAGCTCTGCCTTCTCAATGGCAGGCAGAGCGTGGATCACACGCATGTCTGCATGCGAAGCCGCATAATTCAGAATCAAGCAAGGGACCTTCAGCAATCCATCCTTCGAAACACACCATGTGCGCACACGATGGCTCAGGATGCTGGCAGCGGCAATCGTGAAAGGATCAAGCATGGAAAGCATCCTCTGCAGTGTTCTATACTGAACTTAGAACCCTAGCAAAAGGGTAATTCTAGCTGTTTCTTAGGGATCATAATAACCAAAAATGAAAAACTATTTCTAAGTACCCCTAAGTCTTGTATAGGGGGACGAAATCCAGTTTGCTAGGATAAGGACAAACTTGCTTTTACCTTCTGTCCCTAAACAAACGGCCCTAAACTCTACACCCTAAACCCCGAATCCCGAACCCGACAAAAACAGCTCCCTAACAAGGGCCCAGGATCTGCTTCCAGATGTACTTGCGCTCCACAGTCGCATGTTTCGGGCCGGTCTGCTGCAACGCTTCCAGCGACATCCGGGCTACTTAGCGTTCAGGGTTGAAGGTTTAGGCTTCAGGCTTTCATGCAAAGACATGGTCCCGTGATTGTGCGTGTAGCCTGTGAAATGATAGGCTATAACTATTGGTCACAAAGTGAGCAAGCGCAACAAGGGTTTGAATAGGGACGCTCACTAGTAACTAGTATTACTGCTAAGCATGCAAGCACCTACATTACAGGGGCGCGAAGGTAGTTCAAGGTTTCAGATCTGCCCCCTTGTGGGATTCAGATGCAGGCTGCTCTGAATGTACGTACCCAGTCTCGGCTTTGGGGTTTCGGGGTTACTTGCAGGATCATGGGACTTAGTAAGTAAGGTTATAAGTACCCTAATTGGGGTTATAAGTATAGTTACCCTAACTATGACCCTAGTTACTAAGTCCCATGATCCTTTAAGTAGGTCAGGGCTTAAGGCTTAGGGTTGAGGACTTGTGGTTCAGGGCTGAGGACGTTGGCGGGGTGTAGTTGCCCCAGTCGGGGGTGCGGCGCTCTGCAGTGCCCGTGGATCGTGGATTTAGGGTTTAGGATGTAAGCAGTTGCAGAAAAAAGCCCATCGGTGTTAAGATTTCGTGAAGAAAATCTCCATGTAAGCTGATTTTTCTTTACTTCTCACCTAAGAGCTTGCAGGATCGTCAGACTTGGTAACTAGAACTACAAATTGAGGTAACTATCGCTGTTCATCAACAAACCTAATGCGGAAAGACCCAATTAGGGTACTCATAGGCGTACTTGCTACGGCGGGGCCTGTTTGACGAGTAACGGCTGCAAATCATAGCCGAAGGCGTCGGATGATACTTTTTCTAAAGAGCCCTGCTTGAAGGATCAGGGGGCTTTCCAAGAAAGGTTCTGGCGTTCCTATAAGGGCTCATGCAAGTTTAGCGGCAGTGTGATTAGTGGGTACCTTTACTTGGGACGATGAGTCATTAGAGCTATCGTTACACTATGTTGAATCCTGATAACTTCGATCCCATGGTCCTTTTAAGCCCCAGGGGTTTCGGGAGAATGATGCTATGACTGCTCATTTAGGTAGCCCTGACGAGTAGCAATACAAGTTCTTACCATCCACCGGCCGGAAGACAGCCATAAAAACCCTCAGCCCCAAAACCCCGTACCCTTTGGAGTTGCCAAGATTTCAAGACTTCGGGTGCACAGTTGGTGCCTAAACCCTCGCTGCCCTAACTTGAACCTATGAGTTGCAAAACTGAGCACAGAAGTGACAATGCGCTAAAAGCAGTTGGGTTGAGATATGTGCACTTTACCTCGGGGTCTCATCAATAAGGAGTCGTTAGCTTCTCACTAGATTCCCTTACTTTCTTCTGAAACTCCCATACAGTTCGAGCGCTCGGTGGCTTTGGGCTCCGAGCCTTGCAGAAGGCCTCGTGTTCTATGCAAAGATCCGTAAACGAAGCAGGATCTCGACTCCCAACTTCGCCAGAAATTCTGCTGTACCCTAAACCTTAAACTCAAAGCCCTAAGAACTGGAGATCTGCCAGATATTGTGAGCATGACTCTGACCGACTGCCAAGATCTCCAAGCCTCCACAATCCTATGCGCGAATCTGTGATCCCATGTGTAACTACCTTACCAAACCCCCTCACGCCCGAAAAGCTGATTGGAACCGACCCCTGAAACCCCCCTCCTCCTACCAACTGCCCAGAGACGTAGAGCTGCGGAATCCTTTGTGGATCAGGGCTTATGGCTGAGGGGTTTATCCCCGCGTGATGAGTGTATTGTAGTGGGCATAGAATGTCGAAGAAATCCGGAGAGCCTGACAACAACTACCCCTCTGAGACTCTCGGCTACCGCATGTAATGGCGGGCGAATTGCGAGTGCCAAGCCCTACACCGAAAAACCGGAGACTGTCGGGGGAAGGCTGCAGGCTTTCGTTTTCAAGGGTTTAGGGTTTAGGGTTTCAGGACACTTGAGGAAAGCCCTAGATACTCCATACATTAACACCATTATTTATTAATTTGGCATAATCCTCTTGTATTTTTATGATTGTGGATTTGAAGCAGTAGCTCCTTTATGTAGGTATAACCGTTTCTTAATGCCACTCTATCGGTCACCGTTAAGCAGTAATATGTTATGTCCAATTCCTTGTCGTCTTCGTCGTATCCCGTGATTTTATTAATCTTGCCTCCCACTTCTTGTTAATAATACAACGCTTCCCGAAGACTATGAAAGGCAAAACTTTTAGAAGATTTGTTCGTTCCCTTCTCTAGCAATCCAAAATTTACATTTGCTATAAGCTTCTTGATTTTAGCATCTTCTGAAAGTGGTCTGATATTTCGGTTGCCCATAGTTGCTTAATAAGTTTCGTGTAATTCACCTTATACACTCCAGAAGGCTCTTTAGTATAGGATTTCGCATTTGTCGGCGTAGTGCTTTAAAAACTTACCATCTACTAAACAATGCGCCTTATAAAAAAACAATTCTTGTTGTTTCGGCTTCACCATAAACAAAGTCAGTTCGTGAGACTTGCTGTAATCGTGGGCTTTCCAATTGAAATGCTTCCATATATCAAACGGGTTAAAGACGGGGATTTCGGTAATTTGGTTGAAGGCGTGGGTATAAGCTTTTCTAACATCTATTTCGGTGGTTGTTTGCGGCATAAACCCGTATTTGTCGTATTTCTCGGTTCTTTGGTTAGACACTTGTAGAATTTGTTTATTTCTCCCACCGGCGGGATTGTTCGGCATTCCTTAAGAATTTGTATATCGGTTTCGTTATAAAAGGATTTATGTAAGTTAATGCCTTGTTGAATTCATACATTGCTTTAGACATATTGTAATAAATCTTTTCCGTCCTTACTGTTATAGTTCCATCCACTGAACTCGACACTAAATTTCGGGCTTTAACCCTGTATCTTATGCTCTTCTTAATGTAAAGTTTAAAATACAAATCGGACACGATACAACCAGTAGATCTCACTTGTGGCTTGTAGCCCGCCATCTTGCTTTCGTAAAACAACTGGGTTAAATCATTGCCATCATAAGGTAGCGTATAACTGTCTTTCTCTCTGAATTTCTTAAGGTCATTTAAGGATTGTATCATTTTACATTCAGTGGATTCGTCATTTTCGTTTATGTGGTAATCTGGGGACGCCTTGATCGATACATCTAGATTCTCGCGGATTGCCACCATTTGTCCTAACATTTGCAGGTTGTCGTTTGCTGCGTAGATGTGGCTGTTTTAACTAGGGCATGAAATGTTGGGATATGGTGGTTGTATTTAGTCGGTGAGTATTTCAAAACCGGTTTTATGAAGGAATTGAATATCCTTGCTTGAATATCGTAGTGCTCAAAAGACCGGCACCATATCTTGTATTGATGCCCCGTCCGTGTTGAAATCCTCTTCGGTTTTATTCATGAATTTAAACATACGTTCTTTTGTTAATCTACTTTTCTCTTTTCGCTTCTCACCCATTAGCGTATCCTTTTACCAATCGGTTATGGTGTTAAACCAGCACTCGTTCTCTTTGTAATGCTTTACGTTTATCGCTTCCTTAAAGGTTCCTAACTCGGGGTCTGAAGGCGTTTGAATGTAAATGTTAAACATGCTTAGATTAGCGGTATTTGTTAGTTTTCATTTTTAGGGTCTAAATTGACATCGTCATCAAGGCGTTCTACACTGAGTAGTAGTTTAATACAATCAATGTAGTCCTTATGGAATTCTAACTCGTCATATGCTTCTCGGTCGGCTTGTAAAGTATTATACAACTCAAAAAACAGTTTTACAGTATCCTTTTCGGTGCGAAAAACCATTTTCTTAACTATGTCTTCTATGTAATTAGTAGATTTTACATTCAATGTTTTCGGGTCTTTCCATAAAATAACGTAGGGTCTGCCTATACTGTCTTCAAACGCTGTCTTGAATTCTGTTTCCCTTTTTCGTCCTTCAGTCTGTAAAACAACGCATCTACTGAGTAGGTGTTAGAAGTATTTCGCTTCTTGTTTTCTTCCTTCTTTGCTTCCCGCATTCGTTGCCCGAGTGATTCTTTATCGTGATGTTTGTCGTGGATTTTGTCGTATGCTGTGTTTGCTTTCGCGTTTTGTTTGTCGGTTTTTGCGGTTATAAACTGTCTGATTGAATTATCCGCGGTGCTGAATTGTGCCATTTTACGGTCTTCGTAAAAATGAATTAGATTTTGTATTTTTTCTCTGGTGCCTTGTGTTAAACGATTCTTGTAGTTGTCGTAGGTTGTTTGTAGTGGTCTTAATATTTTTGCTCATGTACAATATAATTACAATATAAACTAACTGTATTTTTAAATGCTTTTTTCTATAAAGATTTTCGGAATATGTTTAGAAACTTATTTAAAGAAATAATATAAATATTTGCTGTAGTTGTAAGACACATTTCAAAAGTGTCGAGGATATGACAATGGACGAGATTAAGCAACAACTGGCATTGTATCAGAGGCTGTATCATAACAAGAGGAAAGAAAACGAACAATTTATGTTAAAGAAGCGCGAAGCAAGTTTAAGGCACAACCAAAAGAAGAGAATCAAGGAATACGTAGAAGAGAATAATTTAAGTGAAGAAGATTTGACGCCCACGCAGATTAACGAAATCATTACTGATAAGAAACCTAGCGGAAAGAAGCGCGGAGTGCCCAAACACGATATGAACGAGCACAAAGAGATTATGCCTAATGCTGTATAGAATGATGATTCAATAAAAATGTTTTATATTAAATCATTACTTTTTGTTACTTATTTATATGAGTGAGAAACAGAAAATCATAAATGATGTATATTTTGATAGAGCGGGGTTTGGCAGTAAATCCAGAACATTAGCGGAAGCACGGGAGAAGGACAAAACTATAACAATGGGCGATATTAACGAGTTCTTGAGAAAACATGTTGAGCAAAAAGAAAGCGGGTAGGACCAAACAGTTTCATCGCCCCTCATTCCGCTTATGAATATCAGATGGATTTGTCTTTTGTAAAGGATTTGAAAGAACAAAAGTTTAAGGTAGTTTTTTTGATGATTGATATTTTTGATAAATTCATGCATGTAGTGAGACGTAGCAAGTGGAATGATTGAGTGCTTAAACAAGATGGGTAAGAACCCCGATTTAATTTATACAGACGACGAGGGAGCATTGAACACGGAGGCTATACAAGAGTATTTGAACGACGAGAACATAGAACATCACCGAACGCGGGCACACCCAAACTTTAGCGAAAGAGCCATCAGCACTTTTAAAAACACGTTATATAGGAGAGTTGAAGCAGATGAGAAAAAAAGGAACACAAAGCATCCAATGGACGGACTACATTTTTGACATCTTGCTAACCTATAACAACCAAATGAGGCACTCGATCACGTGATTTACGCCAAAAGCTGCCCGAAAACCCAGTAATCAATTCAAAGTGAAAGCAAACTAAACGATGAAGGGGGGAAGGAACCGCATATATCCCGATCTAGATGTAGGAGATGAAGTTAAGATATTTAGGAAGAGAAATCCAAATGAAAAACAAAGGGTGAGCAACTGGTCACATAATATTTATACCATAGAAATATTTGACAATAAATTAGGGCAACATTATTGCAGAGTTGAAAGTAATAATAGGAATTATCTGAGACTTGAACTACTGAAGGTTTGAGGAGGGCAAGCACTTTCCATTTTCTTCACGATCACCGGTTGGGCACAGTTCTCTGCCCATACAAGTTGCCTCCAAAGCAGACCAACTGACCATCTGTCCCCTCTGAGGTATGAGAATGAGCCACTAAACTGATGCCAAATATGCTGGCACGTCACACTGCCCATCACCGTTCTGTCCAAAGCAGACGAGCCGACCATCTGCCTGCATTGCACAAGTATGATAACCGCCCGCTGAGACTGCTGAAGCTGGTCCCAAATCTGCTGGAACGTCACACTGCCCATCACCGTTCTTTCCAAAGCAGACGAGCTGACCATCTGATCGCACTGCGCAAGTATGATAACCGCCTGCTGAGACTGCCAAAACTGGTCCCAAATCTGCGGGGACGTCACACTGCCCCCCACCGTTCCGTCCAAAGCAGACGAGCTGACCATCTGCTCGCATTGCACACGTATGGCTATGGTGCGCTGAGATCACCAAAACTGGTCCCAAGTCCGCTGGGACGTCACACGGCCCACCATAGTTGAGTCCAAAGCAGACGAGCTGACCATCTGATCGCACTGCACAAGTATGATAACCGCCTGAGACTGCTGAAACTGGTCCCACGTCCCACTGCCCATCACCGTTCCGCCCAAAAAGCAAACGAGCTGACCATCTGATCGCCCTGCACAAGTATGAAAACTTCCTGCTGGGACTGCAACTGGTCCGACATCTGCTGGCAAACCGCGCTGCGCATGTCCGCTGAATACACTCTTCCTCACTACACAACTGTTGGAAACTCGAACATCTCCGGAACGTGGCAAGCATGCGGAAGTCCGAGTCCGTCTGTTCATTTTGCTTGGCCCCGCGAAACGTGACTCGCGAACGCACCAGGAGCCAGGACGGACCGCAAGAAAAGACTGGAAAGGCGTCCTTTGTGCCCAAAAGAATAAGGCAACTGACAGGCCAGCTTTCATGGCTATTGAGAGATGGATGCAGGAAGAAATGCTCCAGTGAGGGTGCGGTTGAAGCTGAAAGCGGAATGTAGACAAGTAGCTCATGCGATGCCACAAGTATCGCTCTAGTCGGTTCGACCTTAAACCTAAACCTTATTTTAGCGAATACCATCTCCATTTCCAAGGATAGCGGTATTCGGGTTGGGTGTTGTGGGTTTTCTATGGGGGTATTGGTCTATGGTGTTTAGGTTGTTTTTTCTATGTGGGTCTTCTAGGGGTTCCATGGTATGGGTCTTGTTATGGGTATTTTGGTGAGTTTAGGGTTGAGGTATAGGTTGTTATGGTTTTTTTGGTCTTCAGGTGGGTCTTTCTTATGGGTCTTTCGGTGGGATTAGGGTTGAGGTATAGGCGGCTATGGTTTTGGGTCTTCAGGTGAGTTATTCCTAGGGTTCTACCTATGGGTGTTGGGTGGGGTTAGGGTTGAGGTATCGGTTGTTACGGTTTTGGGTCTTTGGGTGGCCTAGGGGGGTTGCATGCTTAGAAAATGGAAATGGTATCCGCTAACTCAGTCCCCTCTGCTGAGGCCACAACGTGGGCCACTGCCCGAACTCCTTCACAGCCTAGCAAGCTCGCAGGTGTTACCCTAAAACCTAAACCCTAAACCCTAGCATTGCAAACATCTGCTCGAACCAACTTTTCGATCGCTCCCTCGAGGGAGGTCTTGTAGTCTGGTGGTCCGAAACTTCCTTTCTTCTTCGAACCCGGCCCCCCAATCCCAAGCAGAGGCTAACACTATGAAGCACCAGGAGGCCTAGCAAGTGGATTCCAGTGCGAGGTGCATAGACTTAGAACTCAGATACGTCTCTCTTTGAGACAGTGAAGAAGGGATTGCGACAGTTGGAGTTTGGTCGGCAGCAAAGATGACGTCGGAAGGGATACCAGTGGGCTCGGTGCTTACCAGCCCCCGAGCCAACATCCCCAACACACTTCGAGCTCCGTTGCCAATATCTCGAGCCTCAGAACAAATTCCGAAGTTCTCGGATCCAGTTAGGTTACACTTTAGCAAAATTCAGCATTACGGTATGGTTGCAAACACCAGGGCCTTAATAATTAGAATAGGGTTTTGGGGCCCATATTATACCACAATCAAATGACAAACAAGGACCCCCCGAAATAGTATAGGTAATCATGAAGGCCCCTATAGTAGCAGTTTAGAGAGCCTCTCGAACGCCCGGGTTGTTGGCTTCATCCAAGACGTTCACGGTCTCGAAGGGCACGCCTGGCAGGAAATCTCCAAACCATGAGCCCTGCCACGGGTCAGGGCTAAGGGTTCAGGGTAAGCATCCAGTTATCCTAGCTTCATAGGCAGCCCCACCAGCAGGAAGAAGGTCTAGTGGGAATAGTTTCCTTATCTGGGGCTATCTGAATAGTGAGAATGGCAAGACATGTATCAAAACCTCCCTGCCGCGCCACCAAGAATCACAAAATTGAGCGACTTCGTCCCCAAAAGGCTCGAAGGATATCGCGGCATCGGCCGACAACTTCAGGAAACTTCTGCTCGACTATTGGTGCGACTGGGGGGCTCCCACTTAGACGTGAAGTGCCTGAGGTGATTTGCCTTTTTTCCCAGAACTAACCCCCGAAGCCAACTGCCTGCAAAACCCCAAACCATACTCAGACAGAAAAGACGCTCGAAACGAGAGGAAGGGTCAGACCTGAGCCAAATAAAGTTGAAGCACCCATCTCGAGACCTACCCAAAGCCCCATAAAAAATGCCTTAACAATTGCCTCCACCATTTTGGAGGCTCCTTATTATAGATACAGTATGGCCACTATAATACTACTAGTACCCTGAACTAAAACGCTTTCAAGAGCCTACAGGCCGACGTTCGCACAGCGCCGGAAAGAGACCTGCCTAAACCACTGAAGCCATCAACCCACCGAGAGCACTCAACCAGCGTGCACAAAGCAGAACAAGAACAATGACAAACTCGCAATCCCTTCCACACATACCAACAGCCACATCGAACCCCCAAATCCCACCCTAAACCCCAAACCCCAAAATCGCACATTGATAACAACAACAACAACAACAACAACGACGACGACAACAGCAACATCCCTAAACCCTAAACCTTCTCTAAACCTCCACCTCGAACCACAAATCCCGCATCACAACAGGAAACCAAAGCAAAGAGGCCCCCCCAAAACCACACAGCCTACCCCAAGCCCTAAGCTCAAAGTCATATACCCCAGACCCTAAGCCCCCAATCCTTCCCTAACCTTCAACCCCCAATCCCCTCGAAACCCCTAGACCCTAAAAACCCCTAAATTTGCCCGAAACCACGAAAACACCATATCCACCCCTTAAAGAAATGAGTGATTGTCAAAATTAGGGTCCCTTTTTGGGTACCCTAAATATTAGGTGCCGTATTAACATAGGAACCCCAAAAAGGGACCCTCATTTTGACAACCACCCATATAAGATGCCTTGATAGATCGAATAGGGTTCCTTTAAAGGGATCCTTAAAGGGGACTATGAGGGCTCTATAATGGGGTTCTGTAATACCACCCAGGCAACCAGGGCAGAGAGGCCGATCTCGCGAAGGAGACCGGAGGTTCGAGCGGAGAAGCCGCACCTCACAGGCTCCGGGGTGGAATTTCGGGTTTAGGGTTTTGGGGTTTAGGGGTTTAGGGGTTTAGGGTCCAGGGTCTAGGTTTTTGGGGGAAGTTTAGGGTTTTAGGTTTTAGGGGTTTAGGGCTTAGGTGTTAAGGGGTTTAGGAGAGTTTAGGGTTTAGGGATTTAAATTTTAGTAATTTAGTGTTCAGGGTCAAGTCTAAAGATTCTCACTGAGCCTGGCTTGTTGAAAAGCCCGAAAGACCTAAACTCTAGAACCCTAAACCCTAAACTCTAGAACTCTAGAACCCTAAACCCCTAAACCCGAACCCCTGTCGCCAGAAGCCCGAAGCCCTCCCCGCAGCTGAGGGCTTCGCTGAGGCATCGCTGGAGTTCCCTTCATGAACCTTGCAGCTTTGGGTTTTTCAGGTTTAGAGGGATAGGTTTTTTTAGCTCCTTTTCTACGGGGGGTTTAAGGGATAGGGTTTAGGGTTGAGGGTTATACAGGTGGTGTCTGGTGCTTTTGTCAGTTCAATGACAGGCTGGCCCTGGAATGGTGACGGTCATGGAACTCTGATGTATGCCTGCACTCTTTGCTGAATCTCGGCCAAGGCACCCCTCAACCCTAAACCCCAAACCCCAAACCCTAAGCCCTAAACCCTATACCCTCAACCCTAATGAAACGTAGACCTGGCTCCCCACTTGAGACAGTTTGCCAGACCAGACTCGGAAGCCTGGGGCTCGGAAGCATCGCGTTTAGCCTTGATCACGGGCACAGAATTCTTACCTTTGGTTAGTAGGGAATGGAGGCATGGGGTACAATTATAACTACTATTACTACCATTCCCTACTTTTGAGATCAGGCTCCTTTCTTTGCCGAGGAGCAAGAGCACAGGATTTGAGTCCACAGCCGTCCTGGCGGAACGGCTGATCCTAAACCCTAAGCTTTACCCTAAACCGGACTTCATGGCCGGGGCCCCGTAGACGCTGAGCTTTGACTAACTCTGCTGTGTGCTTAGCGGGCTTCTTCCTTGTAAACGGTGGGTCACCCTGTACCGAAGTATCAATGCCACAGAGAGCCACAAAGCCTTGACCTCTATAGGGACCAGGGACCTAAGGGGCCTTAGCTATTCGACCAGGCTTCTGGGGTATGTTGTAGCCTACTTATACTTGGTTCTTCGAGTTAGTGACATTAAGGCCTGCGGGGCTTTGCACGAGGGAACCCGAATATTCCTTGTATTCAAGCCTCTAAACTCTAAATACTGTCCCCGAATTTTGCGCCTCGACATCCCATTTCCGCAACTCTTGAGAGAAACAGCGCTTCGATTCTACTAAGTTACGGAGCCTCTCCCTGATGCTTAGAGGCGACCGCAAGCATAAGACACAAGAACGATGGTTCCCCAAGATGAAATACCCAGGAAATGCAACACAGTGCAACCTGAAGTACAAGAATCACCACCCCACCTCTCCCCAAAAAGCTAGACTCTAGACGCGGAGCCCTAGTCACTAAAACCCTAAACCCTAAACCCTAAACCGACTAAGCCCTAAACCCAAGCTCTATAGTGTTCTGATGTATCATCATCCAGCTTGCGTTGAACTTCTGAGGTTCGGGGCGACTGCAGGCTTCGGCTTTCATGGGTTTAGGGATTTAGGGTTTAGGGTTTAGGGTTTTAGGGTTTAGGGGTTTAGGGTTTAGGGTTTAGGGTTCTTTTGAGCAACACGATACCCCCCCCTAGAACCATAGAAACACGACATTTTCTGTTTAAATAGTCTCTTTTGGGTTTTAATTACAAATTATCTGAACAGAAATATAAGTCTTAAGGGGGTTATAGACTACGGTTGAGGATCCAAGGCTTTGAAGGTTTAGGGCTTCAGCTTGAGTAGTCGGTTCTTGCGGCTGACAGTCTGCTCAAGCGCATGTGCACAGCCAAAGAAGGATCCCCACTCCTGTGAGCCATGAATACTTAAAGGATCATGGGACTTAGTAACTAGGGTTATAGTTAGGGCAACTATACTTATAACCCCAATTAGGGTACTTATAACCTTACTTACTAAGTCCCATGATCCTCCAAGTACAGCACAACTGAACCGCTGAAACACGAAGCTCGAAGCTGTCGCCAGGGCAGCTTGACTGCTTCCATTGCCTCTGCCTGGGAAGCAATGCCTGGCAGGGCTTGCTTGCTTGCTTAATTCAGGCTTTGGGGTGCAGAGGCCCTAATTCCCCCCTGACCCCCCCAAACCCCGAACCACCTGAAACTGGTGTTCGGGATTGAGGGTTTAGAGGTCTATAGGGTTAACTAAGAGTCAACTAAGGGTTTAGGTTTGGACCTTGAACCTGCTGCGAGGTCATGGGCGCAAGCCAGAAACGTAACACGCCTAACGCCGTTCCAGCTACAAGACTATA